CGGGGATAAGGCCTCGAGGATATCTTCATGAAACACGTGGCGACGCCCAGTAGCGTATCTAATAATTGCCAGCAAGGTAGTAGCCCTCATGTATGGCGACACCATACATTGCGTGCTTGAGTTTGTTGAGGTCACGCTTCAGTCTTCCAGGTTAGTGTTAATTCCCCTTGCGTCTGAGGTCGTTTCGCTTCCTTCGATCTTCTTGGTGAKTTCGTCTTTCTTTGTTTCCGTTTCTTGTTGTCTTTTTCCTCTAGTTCAATATGTTTAGCATTAGCACGGGTAGCATGTTTGACCAGAGTGAAGAGTCTACCGGGGCCGAGAGCTCTCCCTACTGAGGTGAATGCCTAAGTGCGGGGTTCAGACTCTAACCCGTCTGAAGCGGACACACTTTGGCAAGAGCGCGAGGCTTCTGGTGAGGGGGCATCCACTTCGCGCTGGACTCGTGGACCAAACAACTTCGGTCCTTCCACAATGACAGCTGACAGACTTCTACCCCTGGTAGCTCAATACAAGCTGCTGAACAACCTTGTACATAGATGGCCATCAGATCTGCTATAATATGTACATATAGCACATACTATAATATATAAATATATGTATATATGTGGACCTAGACCTAGGTTGGGTCTAAACACAAAACCTAGCCTAAGTAAATGAATATTTAGGGTTGTTAATGGGTCGGGTTTGGTGAAGGATAACTTAGACCAGTCATGTCCCAATAGTAAATGAATATTTATTTTTTTATTTTACTAAATTAAATTATTCATTTATTTATTTTAATAAATGAAATAAATTATTATCCATATATTTCTATTTATTTAATTTATTAAATTATTTAATAATTTATTTTTACTAACAAATTATTTCTCTCTCCCCTAGGAATTTTTTATGAGGGGGCCAAAATCTAAGTGAATTGGGGTGGGGGGAGGTAGGGGCAATAAATATGGATGGCCATTAGGCTGGGGAGTGGGGGAAGGTGAAAATATACATGAAGAGTGGGGATTTTATGGGCTATAAAGGGGGCCATGGGTTCCTAGGGTCCCCCTCGTTTTTTCCCCTAGAATTGGGATTGACTTTGCCTTCGTATCAACAGAACATATTGAAGGTCAAACTTGAGCTTGACTGGACAATTGGGCCTAGATCATGGGCCCGAGCCTGACTCCCATATAAAGCTCAAAGTTCGGCTAAGAAATTGAGAAAAAAGATTTGAATTTTTTATTTAACAATAAAATTGATTTATTTCTATAAAATTTATTTTAAAACTAAAAAATTTATTTATTCTAATTATTATTTTATTTTATTAAATTAAATATATTTTATCCCATCAAAATCGGTAACGCAGGACACATCCGACCAACCCCCGACGATGACATCGGATTTTTCAACGAAAACCACTGTTTTCTCGTCTTTCTCCACCTGCATTACTTCCATTTCTTTAATCTCCAACCAAACTCCTTGCGAAACCTTCCGCCTCTGCTTCTCGGGTCGACCCTCATCTTATTCGCTTCCGCTCTTGTCTAAGAGTTTCTGTTGGAAGTTCGACAAAGCTGCAATGATGATGGTTATAAAATTGAAGACGGCAAAGAGATAAGGACGAGCCAACCAACTCTGGAACGAGATCCATAGACGAGGGATCATCGAGACCATCGCATGGAAACTGTTTTTGGCCGACGAGTATCGAAATGAATTGGCCATTGCTTCACAAACCGAAGATGGTAAAAGAGGATTTCAGGAAGTGAAACCCTAGATAACACGTATACAGAGAAAAAAACCCTAACATTTGAAAACCAAAAAAGAACACACTAGATAAGTTAGATTCTTTTTGCTTGAAATGGTTGAAATAGTTGTCTGTGCTCTATTTTGGTTTATCAATTTAATTTTAGCGTAAAAATAATGATCAAGTGATCAAGGCTCACAGTTCTCACTTCTCAATTTTCCATAAAAATTGTATCCAATTGATGTTGCCAAAAGTATCACAGAGTTGAACCCTAAACCATGTTAGACAAACAAATTTGTCATGGTCTTATTATTGATCCATCTCCAACATTATTAGTATTTTAAACTTTAAAGGGCTCTCTCTTGTATCCATTACTTAATAAGTATGAATAAATTGAGTTATTTATCCCCAAAAATGAGGTAGTACAGAATTAGTGTAAATTTCTGAAGTTAGATTTTTAATTGAAAATTATATTAATTTTTTCCTTCGTTTTTAATTTCTCAATTATTCAATAAATAATTATTTAAAATTGTTTTCTTGTCTTCCCTTTTGCCCGTGCTCAGCACGGACTCTTTCTACTAGTAGTATTGAACCCATTTGCACCCCTATCCACCAATCCACAATAACGACACAATTAATGGACCACATTGCCTATCATGTGAATCACTGAATAGCTGTAATACATACTTTTTTTTTTCCTAAAGCACAAAGGCAAATTCCATTCAACAGACAACAAGAGAGTTACATCTCAAGAGGGACCATAAAGTGCAGAAATTCTGGTAAGATAGACCATCTCATGGCTCAGTTATGCCTAATGGCATATTGAGCAAGCTTGTGAGCTACTCGATTACAAGAACGAGATGTAACATGAGTAGAGCATAAAGAGAAATAAAAACACAAGTTACTACAGTCAACAACTAAAGTATGAATTCTCGAAAGAGGGTATTTAAGGCAATTAAATAACTTGGGCTCGAGTTAAGCACACCCAACCCAAGGCACACCCTTAGCTCCGTTTGCCTCAAATTCTTTTAACAAAACTCGTGCATCGTAGAGTCTCCTTATTAATTAATAGTACTTGATGCAGTACAATTCGGACACTCCTAACTGGTTGAGACTTGGTTCTTATCTGTGACGGACGGCACCTGAGAGGAAGAGGAAGATGAAGGATTCCTGAGGGGCTCTCCCGATAGGAACACTCCGATGGCTAAGTTAGAATTCTGAAGAAACTCAAAGAAGACACAAAGAGTTAAGAGTGCTGAAAGTGCTAGCTTCAATACCTTTGCTTTGTGAGGGTTGGGGTCCTTTTATACCGGAGCTCGGTCACATCAGGCGCAACCGCCACTGCCCTAGCCATTACTGCCAAGGCTGGGGTGGCAGGTACAGGCTGCTGCTGCAGGCTGCTATCGCAGGGTACGGACTCGTCAGGCGTGCAATGCTTTTCAGAGACAACAAGCAAAATGCTGCCTGGCAAGGGATGCGAGCACTGCCACCGGATCCGGCAGGTACGGATGTCAGGCAGGTATGGATGTCAGGCAGATCTCCCCTGCAATCTGCCGAGCTACTGTACACTGAACCACCTGGGGCAGGTTTGCCTTAAACCGAGGTGCCAAGGTACGCTTGGGTGCTCGCACTAGAGGTGAGCCTTAAGCAAGTACGAACAGGAGTCTCGACGGTGCTGTTCCGAGGTGTTTCTCCCTCGGGACACTTAGCCAAAAGCTGGGGTGCTCCCTTCTTAGGAAGGGAGAGCTCGGGTCTCAGGGGGACCTCAGGTCCCTTTGCATGGGGGGAGCTCGGGGTGTTCCACCCTCATGCTCGGGGCGAGCTGGGCCTTGCTTCTTGACGAGTTGTCACACCCGCCGAGTCGTCTGGTTAGGCCTCGGCGAGCTCGCTATGCCGAGTTGTGGCCAGACTGTCGCGCTGAGTTATCACTTATGCCAGATCATATACACGTGTCCTCGTACTACGAGGTCGGGCCAAATCACCCTACATCAATTGCCCCCACTCCCCGTGCTAGGGGTTCTGACCCAGCGCGGGGAGTCCGCGGTCTGTTGGGTGGATTTGCCTCGAGTGCTGAGCTTTCGTATCTGCCAGCTCATCGGTTGGACTAGTTCTCTGCTCAGTTCTACTAGGCGCACCTCGGGTCACGTACGGTCTACGTGCGGACATCACGCGACTTATGGACTCCGTGGACGTCAAAAAACGCGTCAAAAAACGCCTCGATGGTCACGCAGCTGGTTTTCATGAGGACCGTCAAATCGTTTCGATCTCAACCGTTGACGCCCGGGTATGGGGGCTATAAATAGTGAGGGTTCTGGCCATTTTCCTTCGCCACAAATCCTCAGCTGTAGTTTTGAGCTCGCGTCTAAAGCCTCCAGCTCGGGTCAGTTCTTCCCAGTCTGGTCCATCTCTTTTCGGTGAGTCACCCTAGCTCTTCTTTGGTTTCGTTGCTATGTCTTCTTTTGATAGCTAATTAGATGAGCCCGAAGTGCCCGAGGTGGGTACCTAGGCTCAAGGTAACCCTACTGGAGTCCAGTCCCCCGAGGCACGGGAGGCCTAGGGTAACTTGGCGTCCACCTCTCACCGAGGTCGGATGCCGTACAGGTTCGGACCCTCCACCATGACCCTGGAGAGGCTCCGCCACCTTATTCAGTAGTACAACCTGCCCAGGGAGTACACCTACAGTATACCTGCGGGTAACTTCCCATGGGAGCACGACCCTAAGGAGATCGTAATCTTCCGGGAGCAGCTCATAGCCGGGCTGCGTCTTCCATTCCATCCACTCATAGTGGCGGTCCTGAACCACTTCAATGTTACGATAGACCAGCTTCACCCGAACTCGGTCCGTAACGTGGTCGGGACCATCTCCCTCTGCTATGAGTATGTCCTCCCCCATAACTTGGACATATTCTGTTCTATCCTCACCATCAAGAAGAGCGCTTCATGTGTCCTCCTCGAGCACAGGAGGGCTTACTACTTGTCCCCTCGCCCGGGGTTCAAGTTGATGCATAAGCTTCCTAGCAAAACCCCGGCCTATAAGTAGGACTACTTCGTAGTCCGGAACCCTACGGGGTGACCCTTCCCTACTCACTAGAGGGCGGCTATCCAAGACCTTGGCATCATCCTCGTTAAGAAGACCAGGGAGACATTCCAATTGTGGGCTTAGGTCGGTTGTTGTTTCAAGCAGTACATCACCAAGAGTATGCTCATCCAGGTCGGCTTGAGTCCGGGTAGGTAGTTAGTACCTTAGTTGTCTGGCCTGCTCCTTTCTTTTACTCGAGTACTAATGCCAAGCTCTATTGCAGGTCCCGTGGAGACAGACAAACTCAAGGGAGATCGGCTCTTCAAGCACATGAAGGGGAGGAAGAAGCGGGCTGCTAAGAGAGCCCGTTCCGAGTCACCACCAGCCCCCACTCCCGAGCCCAAGCTTTCGCCGTCGCCAACTTCCGAGCCCGAGCTCCCTGGGGCTCCTCCGATTATCGACTTGGAGGAGTCCATACCACTTAGGGAGCCCGAGAACTCGGCTGAGCCCGCTATGAGGGCAGCAGCTGAACCAGAGGTTTCCACCGGGGCTGCTGACGTAGCAGCCGAAGTCTCCGACGAGCCCATTCTTTTATATATACATTTCTTTGGTACTAACTAACTTCCTTTGTCAGGCAAACTCCGTCGTGCATGCCCTTGCTCTTCAGTCCGAGTGGAACCTGAAGCGGGCTCTGACCGTCGAGGAGTCTTCCCGCGCTGCCCATACCGATCTGCGGGCAACTCGCGAGCAAATCCACCGGTTGGAGAGCGGCGCCAGGGCCTAGAGGGACATTATCACGGCACTGGCACAGGATAAGGACGAGCTAGCATGCGAGAAGGATGTGCTGAGGGGCGAGGCGGAGGCCCTCAAAGCGGAGCTGGCATGCGAGAAGGGTGCATTGAGGGACGAGCTGGATGCCGTCAGGGCGGAGGCGGAAGGCCTTAAGGAGAATAAGAAGGCCCTCCTGCACGAGGTGGAGTTCCTTAAGGCGGACATCAAAGAGAAGACCGAGATCTTTATTCAAGCGGTAGAGGAGACGAAGATCAAGGCTGTCGCAGAGTACATTCAATCTGATAAATTTGATGTCGTTCTGGGGGAGGCCTACCGCAAGGGGTTCAAGATCAACAGGTGGTTGATAAGGCACACGTACCCCGAGCTTGACACAAGTGCCATCACCACCTCGCGAATCACGGATGAAATAGCTCGTCAAGCCAGAGAGGATCCAGACTCAGAGGAGGAGGATGGTGATGAAGAAGTGGACGCCCCTGACCAGCTTGAAGCTCCTGAGGAGGTATCGCGCGGAGATGAAGAGTCCCCAAAGTGATTGTCCTTGTATTCCGAGCCTGCGAGCTCAGTCTTTGTGGTTGTTTTTCTTTTTGTTGAGCTCATTGTACAAAACTTGTTAATGAAATTGATCTTTCTTTTCCAAGTGATCTTTCTTTTCCAAGTGTTGTTTGATCCGAGCTATCATGGTTGAGTGTGCGAAGTGATTTGACGTAGTAGGGCATAGTGAAGCAAATGCTCGAACTGTCTTGTGGCGTTCACCGAGGTGATTGACATAGTAAGGCACAGTAAGGCATAGTAAGGCATATGCCCGAACTGTCTTCTGGTTGTTTGCTGAGGTGAGCTAAGCGTCGCGGAATCTGCTGGTCTGCATGCGCCCTCGATACATCATGTACTGTGGTGCCGAGCTCCATGATCAGCTCGGTGTTTTAGCCCCTTAGAATTGTTTGCGTCATTGAGGTTGCTAGGTTATTATGTCGGAGTCTGTTAGTTCGACATTTTGGCCCTTAAGCGCTGAGAGACTCGTGGTCTGCTTTCAGAGTTCACCCATGGCATGGAAGCGACTGGGTTTTATTGCGCTAAGGTCTTTGTTAACTCGGCATTTTGGCCCTTAAGCACTGAGAGACTCGTGGTCTTCTCTCGGAGTTCACCCATGGCATAGAAGCGACTGGGTTTTATTGCGTCGAGGACTTTGTTAGCTCGACATTTTGGCCCTTAAGCCTTGAGAGTGACTCGTGGTCTACTCAGTTATTTATAGGTAATACTGCCTTAGGTTGACAATATTCCATGTCTGAGGTACTTGTTCCCCTTCCAGGGTTTCGAGCTCATACGTTCCTTCCCCGAGTACTCGCTTTACTCAGTAGGGTCGTTCCCAGTTCGGACCAAGCTTGCCAACACCGGGCTCAGGCACCATAACCTTACGGAGAACCAGGTCGCCAACGCGGAGAGTCCGCTTTTTGACCCTGGTGTTATAGTATCGAGCTATCCTTTGCTAGTAGGCAGCGGTCCTGATGTATGCGAGGTCCTGTACTTATTCAAGCAAGTCGAGGTTGGTGCGTAGCTCATCGTCATTCGCCCTGTCATCATGTGCTTCTACTCTCAGCAAGGGAACTTCGATCTCGGCTGGAATGACTGCTTCAGTGCCGTAGGTGAGGTTAAAGGGGGTTTCTCCTGTGGTGGTCTTTTCTGTGGTACGAAAGGCCCATAATACATTGGGCAGCTCGTCTGCCCATAATCCCTTAGCTCAGAGAATAGCTCTGTTCGTGACTTCCGTCTGACCATTTGCCAGAGGGTGCGCCACTGTGGTGAAGTTCTGCTGAATTCCTATGTCTCGGCACCAATTTTGGAATTTGATGTCTCCGAACTGCTTACCATTGTCTGAGATCAGTACCCGAGGTAATCCGAAATGACACACTATGTTCTTCCAAAAGAAGTTCTACACATTCCTGGCTGTGATTGTTGCGAGAGGTTCAACTTCGACCCATTTTGTGGAAAAGTCAACTGCTACCACCAGGAACCTCCTTTGTCCTGTAGCTGGTGGGAATGGCCCGAGTAAGTCAATCCCCCATTGTGCAAATGGCCACGGGCTAGTGAGGTACTTTAGGTTGGCGGCAGGTCGGTGGTGGATGTTGGCGTGCTTTTGACACTTGCCACATTTTTTGACGAGCTCGGTCGCATCTGCCTTCATTGTTGGCCAGTAATACCCCTGTTGTAGCGCTTTCTAAGCGAGGGGTCTGCCCCTCAAGTGTCCACCACACAGGCCCTCATGAGTATCGCGGATGACGAGCTCGACTTAAGAGGGTCACAGGCAGCGTAGGTAGGGGACCATGTAGGATCTTTGGTCCAGCCGTCCGTCTATCATGACGTATTTGGCTACATGGCGCTCTACCCTCCTGGCGGCATTACGATCTGCGGGGAGGGTCCCGTGTAGCAGGAAGCTCATGAGCGGATCAATCCAGCTCGGCTCTGCTTGAACGACGGGAACGATCTCCTCTGCCCCCCTGAGAATGCTAGGCCGAGGCAAGTTCTCTATATACACAGTCCTCACGGTGTTATCACCAGTGCTGGTTAACCGGGATAGGGCATCGGCCTCAGTGTTCTCTGACCTCGGGATTTCCTGGATGAAGTGTGACCGGAAGTTGAGCAGAGCTCCTCTTTGTTTGGCTAAGTATGCTACCATGGTTGGCTCGCGAGTTTCGTACTCACCCATAACCTGACTTACCACGAGCTGGGAATCGCTGCACACGAAAATGTTGTGTTTGGCTTTCACTTCCTTTGCCAGATCCAGCCCGGCTAGTAGCGCCTCATACTCTGCTTCGTTGTTGGATGGCGCGAACTCAAAGCGTAGTGCATACTCCAGTTTCACACCACTTGGCCCATACAGAACGACCCCAAATCCGCTGCCCTGCCGGTTTGACGAGCTAGCTACGTGAAGGATCCTTGGTTACTCGTCCCAGTCCGCGCTGGTTGCAACTTCACGACGCTCGTGCTCAACCCGCCCGGGAACCCCACACTCACCCGCACTGGGGGCCTCGTGTTCCACCGGCTTGGGGACTTCAGAGCGAAAGGTGCATTCTGTGATGAAGTCTGCTATGGCCTGGGGCTTGATAGTAGTTCGCGGCTTATACCGGAGTTCGTATTCGCTGAGCTCGATGGCCCACTTTATCAGCCTTCCTGAGACCTCGGGCTTGAGCAATACTTGCCTCAAAGGTTTGTTGGTAAGGACAACGATGGTGTGAGCTTGAAAGTATGGGCAGAGCTTTCGGGCTGCTATGACTAGTGCATAGGCTAACTTTTCCATCTCTGGGTACCTTGTCTCTACTCCCTGCAACACTTTACTAACATAATAGACGGGTCATTGGACCCGATTTACTTCTCTTATTAGTACCGAGCTGACCACCTCGTCACTTGCCGAGAGGTATAACTCTAAAACATCACCCTCTTTGGGTCGGGTTAAGACTGGGATGCTGGCGAGGTGCCTTTTGAGCTTGTCGAACGCGAGSTGGCACTCTTCAGTCCATTCGAAACCTTTACTCTTTATGGCCTTAAAGAAGGGCAGGCAGCGATCAGCTGACTTGGACATGAAGCGGCTCAAGGCGGCAAATCGGCTGTTCAACTTCTGAACCTCCTTTAATTTCCGGGGTGGTATCATTTCTAGGATGGCTTTGATTTTGTCCGGGTTGGCCACATTGCCTCACCGATTAACGATGTACCCTAGGAATTTACCCGAGGTGACACCGAAGACACACTTGTTTGGATTTAGTTTCATATTAAATCTACGCAAAATTTCAAAAACTAAATGTAAATCTTGTTTTAAATCATGTGAAAATTGGGTTTTGACGACCATATCATCAACATAACACACTACATTTTTGCCAATTAGTGGCTCAAACAGTTTGTTTACAAGTCTTTGAAAAGTTGCCCCGGTGTTTTTTAACCCGAAGGGCACGATCTTGTAACAGTGCAGGTCGAACTTGGTTATGAAAGCAGTTTTCTCTTCATCAGCTGGGTCCATCCTGATCGGATTGTAGCCCGAATTGGCATCCAGGAAGCTCAGCAACTCGTGGCCCGAGGTCGCGTCCAGTAGACGGTTGATCCTGGGAAGTGGGAAGCAGTCCTTTGGGCAAGCTTTGTTCAGGTCGGTGTAGTCGACGCACATGCGCCATTTACCATTGGCCATTTTCACCAGAATGGGGTTGGCCACCCAGCTCGGGTAATGAACCTCCCTGAAAAAATCGGCTGCAAGGAGCTTCCCGACCTCCTCGTCGACTGCCCTCCATCGCTATGGGGCTAGGTTGCGTTTCTTCTATCTAACGGGCCTAACTACAGAATCAGTGTTGAGCCTATGAGTTATAATGTTGGGGTTTATGCCGGGCATTTCTGTCGCTGACCAGGCAAAAACATCTAAATTTTCGAGTAAGAAACTTACCAGTTGAGACCGTAGGGGTTCCTCAATAGAAGAGCCGATCTGAAGTACCCGAGCTGGGTCCTCTGCCGAAGCCGGGATGGGGATGGTCTCTTCGGTAGGCACGGCTCGCTCCACGAACTGCTCCGTGGATCGCTCTAGCTCGAGGACGTATGCTACCTTGGCCTTTCCTTTGAGGGCGGCTACGTAGCACTTGCGGGACTCGAGCTGATCACCTCGCGTCACTCCGACTCTGAAGTATGTAGGGAACTTCATCGCCAGATGGTAGGTGGAGACTAGTGCTGGTAAGGCGTGGATGATGGGCCAACCACCAGGAACTCGTGGCTGAGCCTTACCACACTAGGCCAAGTGCCGACCTCCATCGGCACAGTGACTCTCCCTAATGGCCTGACCTCCTCACCGCTGAATCCTACAAGCGGAGTGATTGCGGGCTTCAGGTCGCTTTCCTGGAGCTGAAGCTGATCGAATACTGCCTTGAAGAGAATATCTGTCGAGCTGTCTGAGTCGACTAGGATGCACCTGACCTCGAAGTCGTTGATCTTAATCTTTATGACGAGCGCGTCATCATGGGGGTAATGGACTCCCCCGCGCATCGTCTTCAGTGAAGAAGATCGGTTCCTCCATCCTTGGCCGCTTTGGGGGGTTAAGCTCTTCCCTGGCGGCCTCGCGGGCTGATGACTGAGCTGCTGTTGAAGTGCCACCCGCAACAATTGATCCTCCGACAATTACATGGATGGTCCCCCGGACTGGTCTCTCGTCGGGAGGCTGCCTCTGCGGCTGTTCTACTTGTCTGCTGGACTCGGGAGCCTCTTTACTCTACTCCCCGTGCCGACCTGCTTTATTATTATTATTATGTTGTACAAAATTTCTCAGATATCCATGATAGATAAGTTCTTCTATCTCCTCGCAGAGGTTTTTACTATTTTCGGTTCTATGACCGTGATCTTTATGAAAACTACAATACAAGTTTTTATTTACTAACATTGGGATCGGCCTTAAGCCGAGGTGGCCACTTCACATATGGGGCGTCCTTGATCGCCATGTGGATCTCGGCCCGCTTTGTGTTGAGGGGTGTATAATCCCCTTCTGCTGCCGGAGCTCGGAAAGGTAGAGTT